CAAATGGTGCAAAGTGGCTTTTGTCTGGCATCAAAACATGTCAGTTCACACAACTTCACATTAAACGAAACTGCATTCAGCTTGTACGAGTATTGATATGGGGTGTCTTCTCATGTTTAGATGTCACTGTTTTTTATTCTCTGTAATGAGGGATACATTTAGCTAGCAAATCTGCAGTCTAATTTGCTATCGATCCACAGGATGCTTTTTTTCATCCATTTGATATTAGTGGTCCATGATTCTGGAAATGAACTTTTTTCAATCCATTCCAACAAGGCAGCTGCCTCATTTTATTTTAACCCTTTTGGATACAGTGTGATTTATATTACTCTAATAAATATCATTTCCATATTTGTGACAGCATTTGATTGATATTCTATTAGATATTTGAGAAATATTGCAAATTTGTGCATCATTTCCATATATATCATGAGATATCGAAGAATTATAGTTCTAAGATCGATTTGGTGGTTTTGGTGGAGGCAATGGTAAGGTTAAACTGTATGGTGGAGAGAAATAGCTGATCATGCAAATGTGTTGGATACATGACTAGTCTACAATAAATATTAGTACACAGATTGTGATGTTACATATTTCTAGGACAGTCTAAGTAAACTTAGGCTCAGTTTTATTCATTACACTGCTATACTGAGTCTAACAAAACCTTGTGGAAGGTCGCGTCAGCTGACCTTTTCAATGGACCAATCAGAACACAGCTTACCAAATCACGAAAGCTGACATTCGCACATACCTTTTGAACTTTTACCTCGAAAAAGTTTTGTACCTGAACGATTCCGAATGCTATATTCCGTACGATCACTTCCGAGTGATGCACATGGAGCACGCCACAACAGTGAGCAAACAGTCCCTGAGAATAGCGTTTTGTCAGTATTCAAGGATGTCAGCTTGCGGAAATATTAGCTAATGATAGCCATGTCAACAGAAACCCAAAAGTGTATATTCTGCATGTCATATATCTGTGTTTTAAGCGGGTTTTCATTTGTTATGACATCAGTGTTTGCAACCGGGGAAGAGAAAATCCATTTTGTAAGTCCCGCCAAACCCTAAATAGTAGCTGTTGTCTGATTGTTTAAATCCGTTCAGCCGTCTCGGGTTTGATTGGACGGTCATAGGTCGCTCAAAGGTTACCTGACGCGACCTTCCACAAGGTTTTGTTAGACTCAGTATAGCAGTGTAACGAATAAAACTGAGCCTAAGTTTACTTAGACTGATTTCTAGGACTAACTGATGTATTCTGCTAGCAGAGTATTTAGTATTAACGTCACTGGCACCAGGACCAACAGTTTCAAAAGGAATTGAATGCCTCAATCAGTTGACTGAATGAGATCATAAGTTGAAGGCTAATTCTAGTGATTTATTGACTGCTGAAGGTTTGTCCACGGACCAGTAAGCTGTAGCAATGGTGATAGGTCAATGTTAGGCAGCTGAACATGACCAAAGTACTGCAACTGAAATAGTGAAATGCATATGGAGCCGACTCTAATCATTTAGTCGAGTTACCCTGAATGTAACATCTCACACATTGCATCAGGGATGAATGGTCACCCCCTGCTGGGACGTGGTGATCTATGTAACATTTATTGTATCTTTACAAAGACGAAGGAGTGTATCTCCCAAGGGATACAAGCCAGAATACCAGTACTTGCTGTTAGTCAATAGAGTTCTTGATTGGTGGGAGCTAATGAATGTCTGTGTCATGGCAATTTCTAGAATATCGTGCGACATAGGTGTCCCTGTTGTCTGAGGTGCTGGCCAGACCAACAACCTATGATTGTTGAATCCTTATCACAGTTACTGGTGAAGATCCGGGTTAGAACTGATCTTCAGTAACCCATGCTTGTCTCCCTGTGAAGATCCGGGTTGGAATTGATCTTCAGTAACCCATGCATGTTGTAAGAGGCGACTAACGGGATCTAGTGGTCAGACTCGCTGACTTGGTTACACATGTCATCAGTTCCCAATTGCGTAGATCAATGCTCATGCTGTTGATCACTTGATTGTCTGGTTCAGATTCGATTATTTATAGACTGCCGCCATATAGCTGGAATAGTGTAGCGTAAAACTAAACTCACTCACTCATTATCACAGTAACCATGCTTGTGGGTTTCACATTCGATATGTTGTGGTACAACTGGAATACAGTAGGCATTAAACCCAACTCACTCACTCACTCAAGAAAACTGTTGCAAAGTTGACACTAGCACTGATGGGGTTAGTAATAGCTTGCTCCTGTAGATGATGTGCGTATCAATTCTAGATCAATTCTCAATTCTATAGTAACCAGAATAGTATCATAGTAACCAGAATAGTTAGTAGAGTGTGAGCAAGAGATGAAATAAATGCTTTATTGTAAGGAAAACATTTTGGGCTCTAATGGAAATACTTGTGAATGATGACAGGGAATGGTATCATTTTGGATTCTGAAATGGTCAGTGTCATTAATACTCTGAATGTGGCCTCATGAATACCATTGTCCAAGTATTTAGTGAGAAGCAGTTACTATCACTGCTGGTCTTTTACTGTGTATTGCTTTACATTCTCAACATGATAATGATCCATTTGGCCAGTAGTGTGGATGTAGGTCAACCTACTTGTAGAGCATTCATTATTGGATAATCATGTTATCTGACTAATGCTTACTGGACAAAGACCCAATGGTTTATTGTTCTATTAGTAAATGACTTACACTGATGAATATTTGTCATCGACTCAGCTTATAGACATCAATCATGGCCTGATGGTCACAATAATTCTTTGTCATGGTAACCCAAACAGACATCACATGGTCCATGAAATATTGTGACAAATGGCATCATGTAAATCCATGAAAGTGCCCAAGGACCATGAAGTTCCGGCAGTAAGACAAAACGTTACTCAGGTTGATGTTACTCATAATCAATTCAACATGTACCATATCAATAATCAAGTCAATGTCTCTCATGTAGTTGATATTTCAGTTTAAGATGTGTATTTTATAATCTGTCATAGTGTTTGATATTATTGTGAAACACATAATGTGTGAGTCAGTGTTATATGAGCATCGGTTGTATAACAGACACACTAAAACAATTTGGCCTGTTCGCACCAGTTGTTAAAGAATCGTTGCCTGAGACCTGGTTGTTGCCTTTCTCTGCTTCAGTTATGTTCAAGTTGGAATCAATTTAATGATAAACCTTTCTTATTTAAACTATGGTAGACAATGACATACTGGCCTTATTTGAATAGTCAATACTCCCAAGCAAACTGCCAGTCTTTATCACCTTTCAACAAATATTTCCTGTCTTCTTCATTTGACATCCCACACATCATTTCCAATAACTGAATGAAATTACCAATCCCTGTACAGTGTAAGGTAAGTAGATGGTCTAGGATAGCCAACACAACAATAAAAGTCCATCACGATGAAGTTGATCGCCATGACACCACTTAATTGATATTGATTCGTGCTGTACTATGTATGCAAGTCACAGTGGAGACATCTTGCCTTGACATGTGCCAAAAGTGTCACAACAGCCATCATAGTATCAAGGCTGTACACACAATCCTTGTGCCAATAACTGTTTGTTTTATTGCTCTTGACACATAATCTATACTTCCATATATGGTAAGACTGAGGTCAGTGGACATTATCACTGATTTTATGTTGTTGACCTGAAATGTGGTGGAAAGTGTTCCATCCAAACATGTCCTGATATCATTGTGATATTGCTTAAAGAAGTGTGAACGACTTTGTCAGATGATCATATTGGTAGTAACTTGGCCATATATGGTCAGACATGGTTATACATGTATGTGTTACTGAATATGTGAGGCAAGGAGCGTATTAGCAAAATGTTTAGTATGCAGAAATAATGCGAGAAATGATATTTTACAGCTGTGTGCAGCTCACGCAGTTGTAGGCAGTAATTATCATCCGCGCAAACACAGGGAAATACTTGCCTGTATTTAGAGACATGAGCAAATGTAAAGTGGGACTTCAAGAGTTTTCATTAGTGACTATCCGCTAAGGACTTAAGACCCAAATCAGTTAAACCTTTATCAATACCAAATACGATAGAGAAGGAGAGCTCAGATTCCAGACTTACCTAGATCCCATTGATGGACCCAAAATACCACACTCACTTGTTCCAGTGAACATTTCAGTGTTAATTGTATCACTCCTTGCAGGGTATAGTGGGGGATTTGTCTCAACTTCTAAAGAAGCCCTTCTAAATTGTTTTTATTTTACGGAAACAAACATTAGTAAACGTGTAAATAGTTTGTCTTTCAGACCCTACTGAATAAATAACTGTGCCAACTCAAGTCTAGATCCATTTTGATCATTTTAGTTTAGGGATAAATGTTTTTAAATAAGAAGTTTTTTTATGGGGGTGATGGGGTATGGTGTGGCACGAAATGTCAGTTAAATGTATAGATGTATCTTGTACAGATGTAGCTTGACTGAAACAGTCTCCTTGACCTTCATTCACATTGAATTCTATCAATACTACAGGACATGTTTACCTGTTTAGTGAACAGCTGGCATTGTCATAAAAACCAAAACAAGATTTCTCAGTAAGCTTTCGGGGGCTTGCCACTTTCTTTTGTTTGTACTATGTCACTGATCGTGTGATGGAAAAAAGATGGAATACCAAAATAAAACCCGATGAAGAAAGTCATCAAGTCCTACTTTAAAGCTTAAGGACCTACAGCTATTAATACATGGCCTTGATGCATCATAGAGGGATTTTCTTTGTGTATGTCAGCAGCACAATGTTGTGATTAATTGTATATGACAAAACAAAGAAAAACGATTGAGAAAACATATTTTGGGTATCCCATGTTTTTGTTTCACTCAAGCTGCTTATAGGGTTTTACAGCCTTTGTTCGCATGACTTGTAATTGATTTTCCTTTACATTTCAGAATGAAACTTCTTTGTTTTTACAACTTTAATGTTTCACATGGTCACCGATGTTGATTTTGTTATTATTTGTTTCAGACAAGAGATAAGGATACGTATCATTGACGATGAAGAGTACGAGAAATCTGAAGTCTTCACTGTCATCCTGGATGAACCATACCTGGTTCGAAAAGGCTCAGGTAATGCTCAGTTTTCAATACAAACCTGTCGTATTCTACTGAAAAAATTTATAGGTGATTATGGTGGAAGTACTGCAATATATATTGGCCCTAAAGATATCAAAACATATATAAGAGATGAAAGAAACTTAAGATTACATGCATGACCTGCTTATATAAGTGTACATGGACTCTAATGACATATAAATTGTTGTTGTTTTTCAGTAGCATTGAATATACTTAATTAAAAATCTTCCATGCTATTACATAGCAGATAAGTACTTATTGTGTTTATATGAGTTCAAAATATTGATGAAGTGCTAAATATTGAATCCATGAACAGCTGTCTTCAGCCTTAGCACTAACACCTGTGTCTGTGCAGTCGTGTTGACATGATACTGTCATCGTTGCTATTCTGAGCATGTATCCTGTCTCAAGGACAACCCCTTGTGGTTGAAATCACTTGATTGTGGGTATTTGTTGTAGTACCCTGGTTATGAGTAAACAGATTGTGTTTTTATCTTCATTATCACCAAGACTATCCACAGCAAATCAAGCTAATCAATCCTTCATGTTGGTACACCCAATGGTGGTAGATAGCCACTAGTATCTTGATTTCTCATGCTCCCCACAATTATGTACCATGAGGTGAATGGCATAGTGGCTAGGCTGACATTGTGATTAAGCAGATAATGGAGCTGCTCCAGTGCTGGTTTATGTGGAAATGCTCAAACTGCTTTGTGTTTCACTCTCACAAAACATTCAATGATGTATCTTTGCAGAAATTTAAAGTATGACTTCCTGTAACACAATTTCTGGTGCCTGGAACATTTTCTTTTTTTTCTGATTCTGATTGATATGCAGTATTATGCAGTTGATTTATCAACTTCAAGCTTAAAACTTTTGATTGAATAGTGAATAATTTACTTGTCTTGAGCTTAAGTGCTTTACAAGTACATAACACTACCCTGGTCCATCGTAGCGCTAGCTGTGAGTCCATTCCTTTACTAACAACTATTGCATTAGTTTAGTAAGCTGTCATGGTTGCCCACATTTCATTCTGTAATGCTTAACATGAAGGACTTCATCAACTGGGAAGGATTTGCATGTCTAGCATCATGTTCTCACCAGGGAAAGATCTTTAGCTGCAGGATAGAGAGGAACTGGCTCATTGGCTTGTTAGGGTATATATCGACTGTTCTGTCACAGATCTGACAGGTCATTTAGTTGCTTCCTTCCTGAAGAGGGCTGAAAGGATATGTATTTATGTCAGAGGTGTAAAGATATGTTTTTATGTCAGAGGTGTAAAGATATGGTTTTATGTCAGAGGTGTAAAGATATGTATTTATGTCAGAGGTGTCGTTGGTTGGGGTGAGGATGCGTGAGCTGTGCGAGGTCATTTGTGAGCTCAGGGCGGTTGTTAGATGTGCGAGGTCGGTTGTGAGTTATCGAAGGTCTCCTTGTACAAAATATGGATGTAATGTGTATGGGGAATTTCAGGATTGATCAGTTAGGGTTTTATTAATGGAATGTCATCAGCAAACACCCTAACTGGTATGTAGGTGTTGTTATTTAATAGTCAGTGTATAACAGGAAAGAGTTATTGCCTGCCTGATACATGGAATGATGTCTGATGTAGACTCGTCATGAGCAGCCTCAGTTATTGCTGATGATGAGACTTTTCCACATTGCCCAGACTGTGCGCTTTTCCTTTAGGATATAGGTTTCAGTTTCAACCTACATACTGAACTAAATATATATTCTACTTTTGGGTAAAATGGATAAAACAAGCAGGAATTTTGCTTAACCTTAAAAGTGCTCGGACATTTTAATAAGACATCATAATTGCATGGTTAATGAAGGTTTTGAAACAACGCTTGTACTTGTGCATACATGCATCAAATTGTCTCTGGCATTTTGCCATTGTGTGGATGATTTTCGACTAAATCTTTTATTTAAGTCATTGATTTGACGTTAATGCTGTTAAAGTCACAATTGCACGATAGTTTTATTTCAAACTGAACAAGAAGTCACACAAGCAGGATTATTGTTCTAACTTTATCATTAGCTATTGCTGGCCTATTGCAGTTAGATGAAATCAAATTCCTACATAAAAGGGCGATGTAAAGCAAATTGAGTGCAACACAAAGACTTTGTTTCATTAGTCTATTGGGATTTCTCCTGAAATAATGAACTAAACAGTTTGTTAGTTCCCCAGCGTGTACATGACAGAGCAATGCTTCAGGAGGAATACACAGACAAAATTGGACACGTGTTTGGTTGCATGTTCTTCGTAAGGGGTCAATATTCTACTTATTGCATATATGCATCAGTTTAGATATGCCATAGGATCCAGACACTGCTTTTTCTTAGAGGTATGAAAATACTTATGAATATACATGGAAATGAATCTGGTATTTTAATCAAAAGAAACCTCAAAGCTTGCGAATGTAAATTGAACCTCATTCAAGGTTCTTAGTGAAAGGCATATGCATTAGACTGTTTGAGACAGATGTGTTCACAGATCCTGCAGGGTTTTTCTTGCAGATCTGTCAGCCCGTGTCTCACTTTCTAATGCTTATTCTCTCTTGTGTATGTCAATTTGGTTGACTTCTTTTACGGTGTGTCTTTTTAATTCACAGTGTTCCATAAAAAATCACTTACTTGTGCTTATCTGTTGCCAGCATTTGCAACAACTTTCCGAAGTATTTATGGCAGTATCTCAACTATTTCGCAGACACATTGGGATATTTAGTTCACTGTTTGTGATTACTTGAGTCTCTCTAAAAGTTCCTGAAACATATTTCCGTTGTCACTGTGACGATAGGGGCGTGTGTTGCTTAGAAACAGCATTAGAAAGACATAAAGGTGTAAAGACCCTACCCTAGTACTATATAAAATAAAGGGATGTAACGATCTCAATCAAAGTTAGATTTCACATGTAACATACTTGTGAGGCCCCATCAAGGCCTACAGATCGAAAGCTAGATGATTTCCCTACAAAATGAGCTATAAATGGTCACAATCAAATCATTATTTCAAAAGTTATACGTCACGACTCACCGAAAACAGCTACCTCTGCAATTCCAAGCCCAAATCATGGATCAGCCAAGACAGACAAAACTCACCTTTTAAATTTGTTTATTAATTCCAGCCACGTTGACAGCTCCTATGTAGGGCTAGATTCGATCGGCAGCGGTATTCCGCAGGTATAAAAAGTTGTTGCAACATCTACATATCATTTCCTCAACAGCAAGCAGGCATTTCTGCCAAAATTATTGGCAATCATGCTCACTTGTCTGCCATAGGTGACCTTGACATTCACAGGATCTCAATCTCTCCTTTTCAACTTAAATATTTAGTTCTTTTCTGTACCAAACTGATGTATTTTCAGAGACTAAGTGTTACTATGTAGTGGATCCTTTCCAATGTAAACAAATAGCTTTCTGACAGCTAAACCTCATTTATATGCACATGATCCAGTGAATTACATGTAGGAGAAATTTGTGTTGTATTTTGAAAAGGTAGACATCCCTCTACAGTTGGACAGGAGTTTCATTGAGTTGGATTGGTTAAGGGTTTTTCGCAACAGATTTGAAGAGTAAGGCAAAGCTGTAGATTTATGTAGAACCAGATGTATACCTCTGACCAAGAGCAGTAACCAGTTAATATCCAGTGTCACCACAAACAGTTACTTGCCCTCCTAGAAAGGAAGTATGAGAGGCTGTGACGGTGGGCAGGCTCACTGCTTGTATGGCTGTGAGAGTTACGTATAACGCTGCCGGTATGCATCATACTGGTACTAAAGATACAGCTGGTATTAGAGCGGGTATAGTATTGTTGACATATCTATTTACCAGAATTCACTTCTGTTACTTTTTGTCTTATGAAGGTGTGATCATAAAAGACTCTGTGTACCATTTGCTTGAGTTCTCAATGAATACAAACAAATACTGAAGTAATTGCATAAACTAAATGTGTCGAGAGTAACAACTGCTGTTTAATCAGTAACACAAAGAACTGTAGGCAATAGTAGAAAGTCAGCGACATCATCAAGCACAATTGCAACACAGGCTGTGCCAACCATAATACAAAAGACTGTCTGACTGAGTTTGGTTTTACGCCGCTTTTAGCAATATTCCAGCAACATCACGGCGGGGAACACCAGAAATGGGCTTCACACATTGTACCCATGTGGGGTAATACAAAAGAAACAGAAGTTAGTTAGTTAGCATGACTTCTTTCTTTATGGAAAGAAATCTGTGTTGAGGTTGTTTTCCAGTCAGCCTTTATGTCTTTTCTCAGTGGATGGACTGGGTAGCAGTGTGGTCACAGTTTTTGCCAAGGTCCTACTTTGAAATTTTCACATTGTTTCAAAATTTCACATGTCACATTTTATTAATCTGGTGTCCCCCACCATGTCTTTGTTGGAATACTGGTGAAGGTAAATACATAAAACTATACTCTGTCTCACTTATGGTGCACGAAGTAGTTCCCCCAAGCTGCCCTGCGATGTCAAGCAGATTGAAAGATAGCCACAGTGCTAGTGGGCACTGAAGGGAACTTGGATGGCATTTACTTCAATGGAAGTGACCATGCGAGTTGATTAATTCTCTTGTCCAGGATTCATGGTTTGGCATGGACATTGGATGGCGCTCTCTGTCACGGAAATATTGGCTTTCTGTTCAATCATTGGCAACCTCGTACATTTAATCTTGTGTCCATGAAGGACAAACAGTTTTATTTCATTCAGCTATCACCCCAGGTACAGGACTTGGGGCAGGGACAGTGCTGCGTGAGGGTAATGGAACTGGCAGTTGAGAACAGTGGTAGATCTGCTCAATATGTCTTACTTCAGAATCTGCTGATTGCCTGCCAGGTGTGTTTGAAAGACATTCTGGGACAGATTGGGCATCAATGCTTTATCAAAGAGACAGCTATTGATCAGATAATCTCTTATGTCTGCTGAGTAACAACATTAGCAGCAAAGTTTTTAGGGGTTAATGATTCTCTGATGTTTT